GGACTGGAAAAAAAACCATCCAATAGAGAGCTTATTGTCTTGTTACCCTTGCTAGAATAAAAAAATTCCAATAACTAATTTCTACCTCGAACTTTCAGTAATACCGATTAATAGTAAAAAAGTTATCATTAAGGGAATCCTCACTAATCGAGCTTGGTGTTATTCATTTTGCGAATTTGAATTTATAAATGAAAAACAATATGAAGCCATCATAAAACAAATAAAAAAATAATTACGAAATCATTTGACTTAGGTATTTCGTTGACTTGTCCGCTGTGTAGAAACTATAATGTGTGATATGTTGTATTGCTAACTTATATCTATCGTGTAACAAATTGGATATTACATCCAAACCAACTGATTATAATAACTCACTGAACCGAATTACAATAACCCAAATATTAATAGAACAATAGAAAACAACAACACTACAGGAAACAGAGAGTAGATGAGAAGAGAAATTGCAACCTAAAGCTAAGAAGAAAGGGGAAGAGATACAAAGTCAGAAGAGGAGATGAGAGAACAGACTTGAGCGCAAGCTTCAACATAATTCGCATGTCCTGTATTCCCCCCGGATCCCAAATATAATGTCCTAGCATTCTATTAGGTTGTTTAGTCATTGGGCCTCTTCTCAATTCAGCTCCAGGCCCAATACTCCCAACTGGATCAGCTTTGTTGCACACTTCTGGCCCATAATCTCATACTGAGTCACGCGGGTTCACAACAATACCTCCCGCCTCAAAAAGAACCTTGCCCTCAAGGTTCGAGTAAAGCAGAAAATACAACAATATTCGCTTGACCTTGTCAACAGCAAACAGTAAATGCAAAGCAACAGTAGGATAATTGGTTTTCTCTTCCCATAGTTCCACCTGACATCTAGGTAGTAGAAGCATAACAGTACAACAATTAGGATCACCATCTAGCCGCAATGAGATCAATCTAGCTAAGCGGGAAGTTGCACTGTGTATGTTGTCTTGGAGTAAAAACAATGTTATCCAATCAAAGGATCCCTCAAACTTCAAAACACTAGCTTGTATGAGTTGATGTACTTTAGCTTCTGAAAGTTTTGAAGCAAGCCGAGCCAATCCAGATTTTATTCTTTCATAAGTGATTGTTCCACTATTGTTTGTATCCATGCTCGCGAACACATATTTTAGATACTTGATTTCTTCTTCTGAAAAATCTGCTGCAATGACCTTTATTGCTGGTTTCATGAGATTGCATATTACCCTGAACTGCTTCAGTTTGGACAGAACTACATGGTCTATTGGCTTGTCTGATGCTTCCTCCCATTGAAGCCATGGTTGTTCAATAACTTTTGCTGAATTACTTCTCTGTTTCATTTCCTCTAGTAGCATTGTTGGAACTAGGTCTGTTGCGTTATTTGTTATGGATGTCCATGGACTAAGGAGAAAGTCATTTACTCCATAGATGAAGATATGAAATATAAAATTAGTCGCTTGTATTGCATATTCATCCTTGCTAACCGGCAGGGAACTCTCCAGCTTAAGCTCTTTATGCATAACAACCATGAAATGGCCATTGTGGACTACATTTGGAAGCTGTCTAAAACTATCAGCAGGATCTTTCTCTAACGAACATCCTCGGGTGATGGTTGCATCAAACAACTTCCCTCCAGAACACAGTACCATCAGAAGGTGCATATAACACCTGTCCTTATAAAATGATGTAGGTAAAGTAGTCGAGCGACTCAGTACTATGCAACTCAGAAATAAACACTGAAAATTCTGTCGAAAGGACTGCTTAATGATTAACACGAACTCTTGCAACCAATGTGGGTTTGCAGACTCAACCAACAAGATATCATCAGGAACATATGTCTCATTATCAGGGACCTCATTAGCCAATATGAACTTTTTATCACGTGGCAGAACAGACACACGACTAAGAAAAAGAATCACCCATGACTCCTTATGTGAAATTGAGCTTAGCAGAAGACTATTTGCAACCCTTTGAGGAATGTTGTCAAATACTAAGACTACACTGGTTCGTGATTTTTCCTCCTCTGCAATAATAGTTCCACTTTGGGTTTCCACATTCCAATTGAAACAAAAGGAAACCACTAAGGAATTAAAATTATTGGGTGAACTTTCTAACAACTCAGTAGCTATCTCGAAATTGTCCATAAAGCTAAATACACCAGAACGTAGTGTAATGGGCAAGTACCGTGATTTATCCAAATGTACATTCAAGTGCTCAAATAAAATGCGTGGAGGAACAAACTCACCGGGATCAAATGGAAGGTATATAGATATATGCTCATGAATCAATCTGATTCCATCCAAAATCAAGAGGACATTCCTGTCCCCGAGTGATTCGACCACTTCATTGTCAACCAAAGGTTAACCCGCATGGTACAAAAAATTATCAAACGCCTGACTCACATCAGTTCTAGAGTGCTTGTCATCTTCATATGTGACTATGCTACCTTCTCCATTGCCAATGATAAAAGGAAGTCTATAGGCAGGGATAACGAGATGGTTATTTCCACAATCTTCACTCTCCGACTCTAGCTCTTTGCTGAGAACATGACAAATAATCTCAAAATCATCTGCCATAGGTGAAAACTCTTGAAAAGTTTACCCAGCTCCTTGAAAAAAATTATCAAACACCTCGCCTTCGCGTGTTGTTGAGGATCCCTTAATTGGATCAATACTTGTCGAAACTAGATCTTCAGACACATGTGTAGATTGTATAAGAGAAGAACTAACCTCATTTCTGTGAGAGCTTTCATCAAACACCTGGATATCCTTTGAGTTTCCATTGTTTGAATCAGATTCCATTGCATCAGTAAGGACGTTAACATCTGATCTCTCTGTAGTAAACAACTTGGAACAACAACAACCATGTGACATATTATCGAACATCTGGGCTTCAATTTCAGTAGAATAATCCTTGATTGTAGCCATGTGACCTTCCGCTGATTCAAGATGTTGCTTACGAAAACGAATTCGCACCTTTGCAACAAAGTGATCCCAATCCGTCAATTGCTTGTTCCGAAGAAGCCATTGGAACCACTCTAATGCCTCACCTTCTAGGTAAATAGACGCGCGTAATAATTTATTGTTTTATGATGTACCGTAGAATTCAAAGTAACGTTCAGCTTGAGAAATCCATAACTCTGGATCCTCGCCACTGAATTGTTGGAATCTTACTGGAGTAGGCTTACTCGTTGCAAGGTTTTCAACCAACTTATGTAACAATGAACGAATTTCAGCGATATCCTTCGACCACGGATCCTTCACGGCCTTAATTGAATCATCGATAGTTCGAAATAATTGGTCCTCCATTGAAGACCTCTGGATGAAAGCACCAATGTAACAAACTGGATATTACACCCAAACCAACTGATTATATTAACTCACTAAACCAAATTACAATAACTCAAATATTAATAGAACAATAAAAAACAACAACACTACAGGAAACAGAGAGTAGATGAGAAGAGAAATTGCAACATAAAGCTAAGAAGAAAGGGGAAGAGATACAAAGTCAGAAGAGGAGATGAGAGAACAGACTTGACCGCAAGCTTCAACATAATTCGCATGCCCTGTATTCCCCCGAATCCCAAATATAATGTCCTAGCATTCTATTCGGTTGTTTAGTCATTGAGCCTCTTCTCAATTCAGCTCCAGGCCCAATACTCCCAACTGGATCAGCTTTGTTGCACACTTCTGACCCATAATCCCATACCGAGTCACGCGGGTTCACAACATATCGTCCATTTAATTGTTAACTAGTAATCTTTTGTTTCATTTTATGTGCTATTTTTTTAATTTACTAAAAATAATAAATTTTTATATTTAATAATATATTAATTTAACTTTTAGCTTAATAAGGAAATATTTACATATTAAAAAAATCAAAAGTTCTAGACGTCTTTCTTTCATTAATAAATGTTTAATCAACAGCGTCATAGAGAAAAGGAAAGTATTCGACAAGAAAAGACATAAATTTTCGAAGTAATTATAGGTTCATGTGAAATTATAAATGTCGAGCGTCGTGCATCCGCAGTTGAAAATTATTGTTTACAAATATTAAAGGATGTAGTTTCTACTTTCTACTAATGCCAATTTCTTTTCGAGAAATATAAAAGCTTACCCGGATACATTTATATTGGTGATTCAGGGAATTAATCAAGAAGTTCAAGAATAATTCATATAGTTATGTAACATAAACACAAAATACGTCTTTCATCGACAATTTGTATGAATACGGTAAATATTACTAATAAGTAACTTCTTCGTGTGCTTAAATATAGTAATACACTAAAATTTATTGTGAAAAATATTAACGAAAAATAAAAGAAAGAAAACCATGGTCATTTCATCTAAAAAGAATGAAAGTAATAAGTAGTACTCCCTCTATTTTAATTTATGTGAACATATTTGATTGGACACGAAATTTAGGAATAAAGAATAGACATTTGAACTTGTGATGTAAAATGAGTCACATATATTTTGTGTGACTATAAATCATTACATAAAGGTAAATTGTTTTCAAATATGAAAAGAGGTCATTTTGTTACCACGGACTAAAAAGAGATATGTTTACATAAATTGAAACGGAGGAAATATTATTTAGGAAACCAAACAGTCTTTTTCAAAAGCACAAGTTTTTCAAACAATTTCAATTGAAATACAAGTACTCGTACAGCTTTTTAACTTTTTATGTAGTTTTAGACTATAAAAATATATACGAAGTTATTCTTAATAATTAATGTCGCGTATCTTAACATTTTACTATTCATTTGTAGCTCGAGACATAGCAATATATAGTTTTATTTATAATTTCATTAGGAAAATAAATACAGAGGAGTGACGTTGACCCATCCTGTTATTGTAGTTTTTTAAGGATTACTCTGAAAAGAAAAGAAAAAAGTACTCTTCTTGTCTATCTCAAAGTATCTTTTTTTGACACGTGTCAGTTCAAACGTGCGCGCTAATTTTTCAATCGCGACGACGCCACTAAAATATTAAAATCCCACTTTCATTTCCACCGTAAAATCGAAAAAAAGAACCCCTATCATTATCTTCCATATACCTACAGCTCTCTCAAATTATTATTCACAACATGTCATTTTTCGGCGACTTACGTCATACTCTGGCCAAAACCAAGCCTCCTTTAACCACAATCTCCGCCGCATCTATGATCGGAGATGATCCTAGGGCTCCACTTCTCAACCTCTCCGCCGTCCAAGCCCGAATGGATACCCTCCAGAAATTCCTCTCAGATTCGGTCAACTCCAATACTTTACTTGGTCAACACCAAATGAACATGGTCTCCGACGAAATCACCTCCGCCATTCATCAGATTATCGTTAACGGTGCCGCCCTTCTCTCCTCCACCCAATCAACAAATCATCCGCCGCAGTTGCCGGAACTGAAAATAAATCCAAAATCGAATCACAAACGGACGTTTTCGGAATTTGATCGGAGAGGTTCTGAAGTGAAGGTTTTAGAGGAAGAAGACGGCGACGATTTGGAGATTATTGAGCTGGACGCGGTAGAGCTACTGGCGGAGCACATCCACTTCTGCGATTTTTGCGGAAAAGGATTCAAACGAGATGCGAATTTGCGGATGCATATGAGAGCTCACGGGAATCAGTACAAAACACCCGAAGCATTAGCAAAACCCGATAAATGCATTGAATCGGGTTCGAAGAATAGGAGGTTTTCGTGCCCGTTTGTTGGTTGTTGCCGGAACAAATCGCACAGCAAGTTTCGGCCGTTAAAATCGGCGATTTGCGTGAAGAATCACTTCAAGAGGAGTCATTGTCCCAAGATGTACTCGTGCACGCGCTGCAACAAGAAGAGTTTTTCGGTACTCGCGGATTTGAAAAGCCATTTGAAGCACTGTGGAGAGACGAAGTGGAAGTGTTCTTGTGGTACCAGTTTTTCTCGAAAGGACAAGTTGTTTGGTCACATGGCGTTGTTCGAAGGCCACATGCCGGCGATTGAACCGGAGGAGGAAGCAAAACCCCCGGCGGCTGTTGAGGATGACGTGGAAATGGATGTCAGTCGCGGGTCAGATAACGGGTTTTTGGATATCAGAACCGGGTCGGATAATGGGTTTATGGATAGGTTAATGCTTGATGGGTTTGAATCTATTGACAGTTATTGCTTCCAAGATTTATTGGGATCTTCTTCTTCAAATGGGTTAAATACAGTTACAGATACTAATGAATGGTTCTCTTAGCTTTTAGCTTATGGAGGATAATTGATATGCTGCTATATGTATTTGTTGTTTCGGAGTTTACATAATTTTTATTCTTCGTTTTCAATCTAATAAAAGATGACTGGTATTTTATTTTCTGTTTCAATTGCGGTAAATCAACCAAGTTACTTGTTGACGAGTCAGAATCACCGCCAAGGCGGGATGGATTAAATTTCTTCAAGTTTAATCAGAGGTCTACAACTCCACCCTTTCAAGTTTAGTCCATGATGTGGTTGAATATTTGGAAACAACTTCTTGTGATGGGACCAAAGAACCCAAAAGAGAAACAATTGAGAAATATAGATGAGAAAGAATGTTTTGAGTTATTCCTTCGTTTTCATTTTTTGTTTGGGTGAGAAAAGAGAATTTATTCGTATGAGTTGCCAAGTTGGATCTTACATCTCATGGAATAGACTGCACTAAAAGCTGTAGGATCAAAGCCTAAAAGGACTACACACATATTAAAACCAAAGTAATGTTAACCCTTGAGGGGTATTTAGGAGATTGATTCTTCAGATCCAGAAATTTACTTTTCTTTTTTCTTTTTTTGGGGTACAAAATCAAATGCATTTTTCTGTATGCGAAAATATTGAAAGTGCACTTAGCGGACTGGGAGCCTATGTCGTTTATTAGAATATTAATTTCGGTATAAATATTGGGATTACATTTATCCAATGTGTGATTACGGATATTAGCTAATATGAATATAAGTATTACTATAATTTTTGTACTATCTATCACACGTTGAATGTGAGATTATAATCTGATTATAGTCCACGAATAACTTTGTTGCTAATCAAATGACCCCATTGAAAACCCTTCTTTTTGTACTTACTTGGACAGTTGGAGTGTCTCATACTAAATTACTAATCAAGGGATTTTACGTGTAAAATTGTCTTTTTTTCACATTGATCACGCCCGACTATGTCTTATAAAAAGGATTAAGCAGTAGTTGTAAATACAATCCGGTTTACAAGTCCGGAGTTGATCTCATAGGGAATTGACGTACTAATCACAACTTTTAGTTTCACAAGAATCCAAGTAATCAACTTCAAAAAATATTGAATAATGAATTGAGTGTTTACTAACTAACAAAAAGGTAATTAAAAAGCTGTAATTTTACTACTAACAAAGCAAATGTTGTAGACAAGATTGGAAAGGTCTAGGGTTACGATTTTCCCCCTTCTCGGGATCCTCTCTATTACGTCTCCTATAAATTCGCCTAAATACTCTCTACCGATCGTGAGCACTTTAGTTTTTGTAATTCTCTTCCGAGCCAATACAAAAATTTACTAAACGTATTCTTTCGAACTACGCTAGTTAGCACTAGTTTACCGCTCACTAAGATCGCACGATGGTTTCGTTATTCCTAATCCCACCATTAAACTCTCCGTATTGGTCCTCATATACGTTAGGAGTGATGTTGTTCAACAACTATCTGAATATATACCCTTTTCCAAGTAATACACACTAAATAGGCATAGCCGATTAAGGGCCCTTCAATCAACCACAATAATCACGTAGTTGAACAAGTTGAGAAAATCCAATGGCAAATTTATATTAAACGCAACAAAAATTCATCCTCCAAGAGGTTCCATCGAACCCTAGAATAAGGAGTTTAGCTACTCATAATTGTTTTCACAACCACAATATAAGAATTCATCACCAATAATAAAAATAGGGAAGAAGAAAGATAAAAACTCGTTTCCGAATCTTCCGTCTTGCTCCTTGCCTGTTCTTGCCTTCAAAGTTCTTCTAAAAACCAAGATACCCTCTTTCTGGGCGAGCTGGGCTTCATATAGGTCAAGGAAAGTCGCCTCTGAAATTACAATTTAAGCCCTGGAATAATTTTTCTCAGAAGGACGTGCACGGCCGCGCATCTGGCCATGCACTTTGGCTAGTTTCTGCCTGACTTGTGCGGCCCAGTGCGCGGCCGCGCACCTGGGCAATTTTCTGCACTCTTCTTCGTTCTTCTTTTTAAGTGCGCTAACCTCCTTCGATCCTCAAATGAACTTCCAATTTACTCCATAAGCTTTTAGTTGGCCTTCAACGCTCCATATTAGCTCAAAAATGCTCCTTAACTTCATTGTAGCCCGGAATTACTCCTGCAAAGCATAAAGTACTCAATCAGAGCAATTTTCTACCATTTAACGCTCAAACATCAGTAAAGTGCAGTAATCTAGAGCGCAAATAGTAGCCAAAATACATAGTTATAGCCTACTATCACACCAACTACACTTTAAACAAAATATTGTTGGAATGACAGAATTATGACGAAATACATAAGCGGCCCCTTTAAGTTGTTCTCAATGATCAGATGGACATCTCAATTATGCTAATGACCAGACAGACACCTCTTCTCAACTAAAGCGTGACTCGTGTACCTTTCACACAACTTTTTATTCACGTCTGAGCGTGTGAAACCCTCAAAATTAAGTTTTTCTCTTTTTTCTTTTTAAATTAACCTTATTTTGTAATGACTCCACTTGCCTTCATCTTCATACTACTACTACTTCCTTCTTCTTCTTCTTGATAGACACCTCTTCTCAACTAAAGTGTGACTCGTGTACCCTTCACGATTACATGGCAAGGTGTGTGCTTTTTATTCACGTCCGAACACGTGAAACCCTCAAAATTAAGTTTTTCTCTTTTTTTCTTTTTAAGTTAACCTTATTTTGTAATGACCCCACCTGCCTTCATCTTCATACTACTACTATAGACAAGAACAATTAAAAAGTTTCTTTCAAATTACAACAAATGGGAAAAACATAAATAAGCACACACTTTTTTCAATATATACTGTCACAATGCTTATACAATCAATCTCAAGCATTGCCGTAATAATTAATTGGATAGATCAAATTTTACAACATTAAGGTAGAAGAATCATATCTAAGATGAAATTTACAACAATACTCAATAGAGTAAATTGAACCTCTAAAATATTCTCCCAAAACCAATCACAAAAGAGAGCACAATATTTTGCTAAACGCTACTGCTAAACTTTATGGCTGAGCTCAATTTGATTATTTTCTGTGATTATTTTCTATCAAATTCCAACTAACCTTATTTGGAATCACTTTTGTGTAATTATTTCCTCTCAAGTTCCCACTTACCTTGTTACGAATCCTTATTTCTTTTCAAATTTTCACACTAACCTTATATTTTTGTGTCTATTGGTTATCTCGAAAGCTATGAAGTTCAAAAAAAAGCTTAAGCAATCAAATAGAAGAGACGTTACCGAAATGGGGGGACAAGTTTTTGTCTTCCCGATAAAATAAAACAATTAAAACAGGTTCGCAATGTATAAAATAATTTCGGTATAAAACTGTTTTGCTAAAACAGTTTTATAAGATTTTAAGAACTGTTTTGCTTAAACTGTTTTAAGAACTGTTCTATTTCACAAGAATTTAAATTTACTGCAATATCCAATAAAATAAACATTAACCAAAGTTTCTATCTTTCATTCTTCAACCCAAAAAATATAAACAAAAATTCCAATATCAGTCAGTGACGGAAAAACAGAATATCAGTCATATTTTTACTTCGACACTTTCTGCAAATACAAGGGATCTAAATGAATAACAAATACACGACAAATCTCACTTCAGCTTTCAAACAAACTAAGAAAAATCCAGAGCTAGAATGCTTTTAAACAAACTAAGAGAAAGATGAAGATGAAGCAACTAAAAACTTACACGAAGAATCAAGATGAAGCTGAAGAATGCGGCAGAGAAATGCGACTGAAGAGTGAAGAAGATGCGACTGAAGAATCTGATGGATCTGAGAAATGAAGTGAATATGCGACTGAAGAGTGAAAGAAAGAAGCTGAGAAATGCGACTGACGCCGGCCTGAGTCTTGACAGGCTGACTGGTGAGGGCGTGAGGCGGAGAAACTGAGAAAGAATAGGGAAATCAAAGAGTGAACTATGAAGTACTCCCTCCGTTTCAATTTATGTGAACCCGTTTGACTGGGCGCGGAGTTTAAGAAAACAGAGAAGACTTTTGAACTTGTGGTGTAAAATGAATCACATATATTTTATGTGGCTATAAATCATTGCATAAAGGTAAATTGTTTCGGGAAAGAGGTCATTCTTTTTGGCACGGACTAAAAAGGAAATAGGTTCACATAAATTGAAACGGGGGGAATATGAATTATGAAACCCTAGTATGTATATGCTTAAGGGTAAACTAGTAAATTAGTTAATCCTTATTGGGTTATCGGTTTTACCCAATAACAGAATTGCCAAACCGAGCCTGAACCGATAACCCAATAAAAAAAAGTTTAACCCGTTATCGAACCGTTAATCCAATAACCTAATACCGATAACCCAATAAATAATTAACGGTTCGGGTTATCGGTTTTACCCGATATATGCCCACCCCTACTAAAGGTCATTATAATTTAGTAACCGCGACTTTCGACCTCAAAAGGCCATTGTAAGTGCCGTCAATAATGAGAGAGCACATTGTGTATCACTGTATGCACTCGAACTTTCACTCTCTCGTGCTTTTTTCTATCAAAGGCGGATCTATAGGATAACTTTTAAATTCACGAAAATCAAGTAGTTTTTGTCTTGATCTTATATACTATATTAAGAAATTCATCAAATATGTATACATAATTAATTGTAAACTCAATTGTTATAATATATTAATTTGAGATTGTTTTAGAAACCCAAAAACTTCAAACCTTAAACCCGCATCTGCTCCATACTTTTGTTCATTTGTTGTGCTCCGATTTCATCAAAATTTAGTGGCCCAAAGTCAAGTTTAAGAGTGGTTTATTAGATTCAATATATGGATGGAATGGGGATCGAAGTTGTAAGGATTTGGCCCTTGTTAGAATAGAGAAGTACCCTTTCGTTTACATTGTTGGCTTTTCGAAATTATATACACTCCTCCATCGGTACCTTTTGGTTATTAAAATAAGAGTGGAAGATATATAAAGTGGATTTAAAAGTAGAGACAATGAATTTGGCTTTTCGAAAAACATTTCTTAGAATACATGCATGTGAGTCTCAGTCTTTAATTTTATTATTGAATAATGAAAGCACTGGACGAAAGTTCGCAAAGAAAAAGATCTCTTTGAAGAAAACAGTAGAA